CTCATGCAACATCAGCTGGCCCCCGTGCATGTGCTTCCACGCGGCGATCTTGGCGTATATCCGCGCAGCGTCGATGCGCTCCTCGAGCAGCTCCGCGGGCGCCGACCGCGTCGGCGCGGCCCCCGTTCGTCCCTCGACGGCGCGCTGCAGGCGCCTCCGCGCGCGCCTGCATGGCCGCCGTGGGCCTCGCAACCTCGCCCGAGTGAACCGAGAAGTGCCAGGGGCGGACGTCGCTGATCCTCGTCACGAGTGGCCAGTGGTGATGGGCAGGCCTTGCAGCTCCGCCAAGAACGGCTCGCGCCCCTCGTCCGTCAGCGTGGCACTGCTCAGCTTCGCGCGGCCCCACCTCTACCCCTTCGGTGCCGCGCAGATCGGCGGGGCCATCTTCGTCTTCAGTGCCAGCGGGGTGTGGTCCAGGACCGCCGACGTGGGGCGGTCCGCCAGCGTGGAATGGCGCGACGAAGCCTTGTAGCACAGAAGGGGCCTAGCACTCGAGGGGATGCACGCGTAATCGATCTGGCCCTCGCCATTGTTACCAAGGTTGCCCTCGAGAGAGTTTTAGAGTTGCCGCGCGGATAAAGCGCGTTGATCGCTACCGTGCCTATCGCCGCCTGCCAGTCATGCAAAAAGAAACTCATGTCCGACTCCGCCACAACCGCCCCCAAATCGCCGACCACTTCCGTGTCCACGCGATGGCGGAGGCCTGCATTCAAGCCCATGCAAATGATGGGCGTGTACCTCCAAGGCATCCGGGAGTAGGCTTCGCGAGCCCATGCAGTCAACGGTTCGCACGTGTCTCTGTAGATGCGCCCCGCGTCCTTCTTGCTCGGCCTCGGCGGGGAGTAGGGCACCATATGGTCGCTACCGCGGCAGGCCCCGAGTGCAGGTAGACCAAGCCTCCGCGCCCACGAAGCTCCTGCGGCGGGGGAGCGACACCGCGTATGTCTTTCTGCCAAAGCCACTCCTCGGTGCGGTGGAAGACCGAGCAGGCAGCGTGCCGGACGTCGCCCCGGCAGGCCCCCATGCCCGTGCCCGGGAGGCCGGCCACGCCCGCGGAGCGGGGCACCGAGCTCACCCTGTCCAGGCAGAACGGGCTCACGAGCGGGCGTGGGTTCCCAGCGCCCCGCGAGGCACGACCGATCATCCTGCTTGGGCGCCCGGGTTATCCGGGGTAACTCGGGCCCGGAGTAACTCGGGTTTGGATTCCCGAAAAACGAACCCGAGTTAGCCCTGACCCGAATTATCCCTGATGATTTGGGGCTCTGGACGCCCGAGGTATCCGGGGTAACTCGGGCCCGGGGCAACTCGGGGTCGGATTCCCGAAAAACGAACCCGAGTCAGCCCTGACCCGAGTTACCCCTGATGATTCGGGCCTCTGACCTGCGCCGCGGCCGCGGGGCCCAGTGCCCGGCGGCGCCCCTCGCGCCACAGCGGCCGGCAGTATCAGAGGGGCACCCTGCCCTGCCCGAGCAACGGCGAGCCCAGACCCCCGACGTCATGATTTTTTCATGACGTCGACCCCCAGAGATCTCGACCCATTCCCCAGGACAGGTTTTTCATCCCGAGTCGTTTTTTGACGCTCCCGAGGCCCGGTGAGGGCCTCCGGAGGCCGAAAATTAACGAAAAAACGCCTGTCGTGATTTTTTCATTATTCGAGGGGGTCTGGGAGCAGGCCCGCCTCCCCTCCGGGTGGCGGCAGCCCGCCGTCGGCGCGCCGATGCCTCGGCTGCCCCCCGTCATTCCTCTGCGCGGGCAGGAATGGCCGCCTCACGGTAATTAGGGGGGGCCTGGGCGGTCGCGGCGGCTGGGGAGGAGGAGGAGGAGGAGGAGGAGGAGGAGGAGGAGGAGGAGGAGGAGGAGGAGGAGGAGGAGGAGGAGGAGGAGGAGGATGACGAGGAGGAGGCGGCGGCGGAGGATGAGGATGAGGATGAGGATGAGGATGAGGATGAGGATGAGGATGAGGAGGAGGAGGAGGAGGAGGAGGAGGAGGAGGAGGAGGAGGAGCGCACGTGCCTTCAGGGGGCATGTTCCCCCTCCAGGCGCCTACGCGCCGATGCACGCAGGCGCGGCGTATCTCGCGGACTTCCGGAAGATCCGCTGAGGTACGTCTGGTAGCTCCGGTGCGTTGATGCAGTTGTGGTATGTGTTGAGGCCACTGCTAGGCGTCGGACTGTGTCCACAAGCTGGTTGCCAGGGGTCGCGCGCTGCTCCTGGGAGCCGAGGCCCGGGAACACCAGCGGCGAGGTCGACGGCACCTCTCGTGGGCGGCGCGCGAGCCAATGCATGCACGCGCAACTTGGAGCCTGCGCCACGAGCATCCGCGACGACGTCGCTCCTGCGCCGCTTAGCGCTCGGCGTCTTCAGCACGGTCCACAGGACAGGACGGCCGCACGCCACGCCGCGCCCCCGGCCAGGCGCGCCCACCTCGCGCTGAGGCCGCGTGGGACAAGGGCGTCTGAAGGTGAACTGGGACACACAAGTAAATAGACACAGATAACCAGATTCCCCATATTTTCTGGGTTTCTGTCTTCCCCCCCCACTTCCCATATTTTCCATATTCTCGGGGGAATCGACGATTAGTTGTGTCTGTGAGTTTTTGTCCCCTCCTGAGCGTCTCGCATGTGCCGCTGCGGGCGCGGCCGCGGCGGCACTGCTCCCCGCCCACCGCGCCCGCCGGCCCAGAACTGCCACAGGCGCGGGGGGGGGAATTCGCGACGAGGGGAAAGAGGGAGGGAGGGGAGGGGGGAGAGGTAGGAGGAGGAGGGGGCCTTGGAGCAGCTTCTTTGCGGACTGCAGCGGCTGGACGCCGAGCTGGATGCCGCACTCCGTGAGGAGGCCCGTCAGAAGACGATCTTCGCGACTGTCTACAAGACAACTCATGCTGCTGCCGAGCAGCGAATGGATCTTCGCAACAACGCCGACTTGCTGTTCGGGGGCGGCCCCGGGGAGACGGCTTCTTGCAGTACCCGACGGAGCCCCTCTGCGCGCTGCAGGACGTGGATTGGAGCATCTCCCTGCCGCCGCCCGCGGCTCCCGCGGCGGAGTGCTCGCTCGCGGAACTGGCGCGGGCCGTGGCCGCCGTGCTGCCACCAGACGGCGGCCGGCGCCACCTGCGCGGCCCCGCTGGACGAGGACTGCCGCCACGCCTGCGCTTGCCAGCCTGGCGGGGGCGCGCCGTGCGGCGCCATCCCAGCCTGGGAGAGGAGGGAGGAGGGAGGAGGGAGGAGGGAGGAGGGAGGGAGGGAGGAGGGAGGAGGGAGGAGGGAGGAGGGAGGAGGGAGGAGGGAGGAGGAAGGAGGCACCGCGCGGGGCGGCCCCGCAGAGGGGCACGCCTGGGAAGCCCTGGGACGCGCCGCACCGGACCTCCCGTGCGCTCCTCCGGGCCGCGGCGCGACGGCCGGGAGAAGCGACGCGCAGGGCCGGGCGCGAGGAGCACGAGAGATCGAGGGGGCGCTTAGCTGCGCTCGCCCTGGGGACCTCTGGCCGCTGGGGCGCTGGGGCACGGTGGTGGCTGCTAGCGTTATGACGTGCGTGTCCCCCTACAGGGGGATTCTCGACGAAAAATGAAAAACACCCCAAAAATGCACCGAAAAGGTCAAACAATACCCCAAAAATAGTCCCCAGACTATTTTTGGACTATTGCTTGCTTATTTTTTGGGGTATTTTTTATTTTTCGTCGAAAATCCCCCTGTAGGGGGACAGGCCCGACTTAATGCTAGCGCAGGTGCGCGAGGTCCCCGAGGACACGCAGCGGGGGAGCTGGTGCGCGCCTACAAGAGCGATCGGCTGCGCGCGGCAGAGCCAGGCGGCGCGCCAGCTCCGGCGCGCCGCCGGGCTGCCCTGAGCCACGAGGGCTGCCGGGCCTGGGCCAGGGGCGGCGCTGAGCTGGGGCGCAGGGCCAGGAACTGCGCGGTGGAGGCCGAACCGCCCAGGGCGCGCCCTGGCGGCCGCGGAAGGCGCCGACCGACCAGGCGGCGGGCGGCAACACTGCGGGCGCCGAAGCACGCCAGGCTGGGGGGCTGCCGGCGGCGCCAGCCAGCGGAGGGGCGTGCGCTGGGGCCCCGCAGTTGCGCAACGCTGCTGGCAGGGCACGCGCTGGCGGCACTGCGCGGGCCGGCGGGGCAGAGGTGTCGTAGCGTTCGCCCTGGTGGTCGCTGGTGCCAGATTTTGTAGGCCCCGGCTGGCGCACCCCCTCCTCTCTGGGAGCGGCCACCGCTGAGCGGGGGATCGTGCCCAGGGTGGGGGGGTGCCCCGGCTTTCGATCACAGTGTGCCCGCGGCAAGAAGACACGCGATGCGCAGCGAGGAAGAGGAGGAGGAGGAGAAGGAGGAAGAGGAGGAGGAGGAAGAGGAGGAGGAGGAGGGAGGGAGGGAGGGGAGGGAGGATGAGGATGAGGATGTGGATGAGAAGGAGGAGGATGAGGAGAAGGAGGAGGAGGAAGAGGAGGACGAACCCCTTCTCGCGTGCTGAATCGACTGGACGGCGGCCCGAACCGCAGGGCCGGGCCGAACCAGAAGAGGCGGCTGGCCTTCGAACGCGCCAATTTCTCGGGAGAGGTCCCTGCAGGGGCGGCTCGCAGTCGCAGCCGCGATCAGGTGTGCGCAGGGCTTTCGAGCAGGGCGCAGGGGGGCAGCGTCGCGATTGGCCCCCAGGGGCGCGCCCATCAGCGCAGCCGAGAGCGGGGAAGGGCGGCTGGCCCCCCAAAAAAGGGTAGAGACCGCGCGGACGCGACATGTGAACAGGCAGGTGGCCCTGGTCATCTCGGGCCCTCCCCCCCAAACGTCCCACGTTCAAAACGGTGTCGCCCGAGTGGCGAGTGGAGGCGGGTCGAGGTCCGCAGGCCGCGAGGGAGAGGTGAGGGAGAGAAGCGGTGAGGCGAGGGGAGGGAGGGAGGCGAGGGGGAAGGCAGGAAAGTGGAGAGGGGGGGGGCGAGTGGAGCGGTGGAAGCGCTGGAGGACGCTGCAGCGGAGGCGCGGCGAGGGTGCGGCGGCGGGGGGGGCTCCCGACAGCGCGCACGGGGGCGTGTTGAGCGTGCGCGACAGCCACCACCACATCGCAGCGGTGTCCTCCTGGGAGCTCGTGCGCTTTTTCTTCGCGCGGGCGTCGCGAAACCTCCAGGAGCCTCTTCCTGCCTTCCTGGAGGTAGTACTGTCGAGTCCCTGGGAGCGCGGGGTTCGTAAGCACCCGCGGAATCAGAGGGTGCCCCAGAGACAGATGTCCGCTTCAGGATCGATTTGGGCCCGTCTCGAAGGGGCAGTCTTGGGTCAGAACCGAGGAGGAAGATCCGGCTCTTGGCGCAGACTGTTTGGCGCCACAACATTTCAAAACAACAATTCATTGATCCACTTCGGGAAAGGATGTGGCACCTCCTCCCGTTCCCCATGGAGCGTCCGTGATGGACAAACATGGGCCTCCAAAGTGGCTCAATGTAGCCAAATATTGTCTCCAAGATAGCGCGACGTGGCCTATACGGCACCCAGCAGCCACTCGGAAGGGTCTTCCGAACATCCTCACGATGCCCCGACAGACCGGCATCCGTTGATCCGGCTTGTGAGTTTGGAGCGTATGCGAAAGGAGCCACTCGAAAAGGGCACCCTAACCTTGAAAGCGGGGTGCCGAGCCGCGGCTCTGCTCCGCAGTGGAGAGCAGGTTCGGAAGGCCTGTGCTGGGGGCAGGGGAAGGCAAGGGCCCTAAGTCCGAACTTCCCCGAGTGGGGGCGAAGAGAGGCTAGGTGTCGGGGTGGCTCCTCTGGGGAGGGGCCCGGGGCTAGGACTGCCAACGAAATGCCCAAGGTCGCCCTCCAGGAGGACGGGCTAGGACGGCCAAAGACGTGCCCAAAGTCGTCTTCCAGGGAATCCCATTGGCCCATGACGGCCTCGGCGGTCCCCATGAGGTAGAATCGCAGACGCCTCTGCCGAGTCACCGCTGCCAGGCCGAGGCACGAGGAGGAGGAGGAGGAGGCGGAGGAATGCACGAACAGACAATCCAACTTACGAGCCATGATTCTAGGTCATACCTGGAACAGAGGGGTGGCTGTACATCCTTAGAAATCATGGAAACGTTTTGCACCAGGAAGCGAGAACGAGGAGAAAAAAAAAGGGGAGAGGAAGGATCAGGAGGACCATGAGGAGAAACTGGGGGATGACGACGAGGCAAGATGAGGGTACGGCGGATGAGAACGAGGGGAAGGAATACGAGGAGGACAAGGATTTGAGTGTGGAGAAGGGCCGAAGGGGAAAGGCAAACAACTACGACGAGGGCCAGAGACAAACAAATCGGGCGCACCTCTGTCAGGAATCTCTCAGAGTCTGCGAGCCTGAAAGATGTATTGGGTGCAATGGCCCTTCCAGAGCGCTCCAAGATCCCGGAGATCGTGAATCACTCTGACAAAGAGAACCTTGAGTTCTCAGAGCAGCCTTCTGACATAATCCTTGCGGTAATGCCATGGGTCCTTCAGAGGCAAGCGCTGCGTCGAGAATGACGACAGCAACAACTCTCGAAAAAGCTGTGCAGTTTTCTGGCCCCGCCCAGACGGCCTTGCAGGGTTGACGGAGGCGGACCCCTCGCGGACTGCAGCTCCAGCAAATGGTGCTGGCGCATCTGGACGGAGGGAAGACAACTGCCTGAACACCCTCTCTTTTCCTCACCCCTCTCTGGCCCTCTGTCTTTCTTTCTTTATATATGTTTTTTTTCCTCTCTCTCTCTCTCGCTCTCTCCCTTTTTCTCTTTATCTCGCTCTCTCTCTCTCTCTCTTCCTTTCCCCGCCTCACCCCCTCCTGCCTCCCATCCTCCTCCTCCTCCTCCTCCTCCTCCTCCTCCTCCTCCTCCTGGCCCACTGGCCCAGGCTGCCTGGGCGCAAGGCTTTGGGCGTCCCCAGGGGCGCTTCCCCTCCCCTCCCCTTTCCTCCTCTCCCCTCCCCCGCTTGCCGTGGTTGTCGCGGAGCGGCTGGCGCTGCTCCGGTCTCGCACCCTGACTGGCCATGTGGAGCACTTCAGCGTGGTCGGGCAGGAGACCAGGAAGGTGCGCCTCCTGGTCACGGTGCAGGCGGCTCCGGGCGCTGTGCCAGCGGCTCTTCGGCGCCACCTTCTCCGTGCCTTCGAGGCTGCCGCCGACGCCGCACGAGGGTGGGCCACACCGCAGACGGGAGGCCACAGGGTACCCAGACATCCGATGCCGTGCTTTTTCCAATGCGGGGTCCCCCGACAGCTCGGCCCATTCCCCGGGACCGGTTCTTCCTCCCGAGTCGTTTGCTGACGGTCCCGAGGCCCGGCGAAGGCCCCGAGAGGCCGGAAACGGCGAAAAAAACCTCCGTCGTGATCTTTTCGATGCGCTGGATCCCTGCAGGAGCAGCGGCATCCTGAAGGCCGCCTGCTGGAGCTCCCCGGCTGCTGGCGCGCCTGCCGATGCGCCGAAACCGCGGGGATGACCGCGCGGAGGAGGCGACCAGGATGAGGGAGGCGGGCCCCCTGCTGGTCGTGCGGCCGATGCTGCTCGACGGGTGGCTCCAGTTTTCGGGAGCGGCCAAGAGGGGGGTGTCCAAGAGGGGGGGGGTGCAAATCATGACCGGCGGCATGTGCGCGGCCCAGCGGGGGGGCCAGGGACGTAATGAAACAAGAAGAGGCGCCATGAAATCTGGGGAAATATCATGGCCCCCGCCATGATATCCGACCCCCCCCTCGTCATCACCCCCCTCTTTTCCGCCCCCGAAGTTTACGGCTAGGCCACGGTGGACGACAAAGGCTCGGGTTGGGCCGGGCACGCCCTCCTGCATGCGGACTTGGGACGGAAAATGACAGACTGTGAAGCGAAGATCAAGCACAGTCATGAGAGCACGGCAAAGCGTCACCTGACTATTTTTTCAACTCGTGAATCTTCCTCCTGAGGAGGGACATGCCCGACTTACTGCTCGGGCAGAGCTCAGGGCTCCGAACTATGGCAGCAGGGTCGTGATCCCTGGAGCGCTTCGGCCACCGCCGCCGGAGATGTGCAGTCTCACCGGCGCGGTGCTCCTGGTCCTGGCCGATCTCCCCGCCGCACGCCTCGGTGTGCCAGACACTGCCGGCAAGAGCATCAGGGCGGTACAGGGCAGTTTGTAATACATCGGATTTTTTTTAACATCGGACTTTTAATAAATGACTAATTTATGACTAAATTTATACATGAACTCATCGTTGCTTTTGATACTGAACCCCTGCATTCTTGATACATGATCCGCCCGCGGAGCAGTTATCAAAAACGGCACCGTACACGAGACGTCGGCCGTGGCGCAGGACGGCGTGAGCCCGGAGACTTCCTGCGCGCCTCGCCTGCGGGACGGGCGCGCCGGCTCGGCGGCGCTGCCCTGCCGCGCGTGCGCGGTCGGCTAGCTGCCCTGCCGCGCGGGGCCATGTTGCAGACGGGGGTGTTTTCTCTCTGTGCAAGGCAGGTTTTAACGCATAGGATGTTTAAAATATCGAATGTTTAATACATGACTAATGTATGAATAAATGTATGCATGGACTCGTCGTTGTTTGTAATACTTAAATACCTGCATTTTTAGTACATGATCCGCACGCGGAGCATGTATTAAAAACGGCACTGAAGGCTGGTCTTTCGGGGATGCTGGTGACCGAGCGCGTTCCACTGCTCGCAGAGTGCCTACTTGCAGACGTCCTGACCAAACTATGTCTCCCTGTGTAATTCACCGTAGATCCCACGCGGCGGATCTAAGCCATTGGCGAACAGCTACTTTGCGAGTAGTGGAACGCGCTTGTCGAGCTGGCTCGAGGGCGGGCCAGGTGCCCCTAGGCGGTGCCGGGTCTGGTCTCCAGTCTTCGTTGCTGGAAGGCCCAGCCTTGTCCCTCGAAGTGCCCAATACAACCCCAATCCAATCCGATCCGATCCGATCCAATCCTCCTCCTCCTCCTCCTCGGCCCAGCGACCAGGGTCGGCGGCAGAGGGCCGCAAGGCCTTCGCAGTACAAACCCTCTGGAGGCCTGCGCTGATGTCCTAGAGCGAAGCCGGGCCCCTCCCCTGGGAGCGCGGAGCGCGCCAGGGGCGGCGCCAGAGGCGCCCAACAGGGGGGGCACGTCGCCGATCCGAGACGTCTGCGCAGACCTCCAGAGGTCTACGAGGACGAGGGTGGTGTCGTGGTGCGATCGGCTCGGGAGGCGCTCCAGGAGGCCTGGAGTTTCTGGCGGCCCTCGTTTTGTGGAGCCCGTACGGGGCAGCAGGACATCGAGGCAAAGCTCGGAGAGCTCGGAGCGTGGTGTTATCGCTGCGTCTTGCTCCTCTGATCCATGGTCATGTCATGTTGTTTCTTCTTCGAGCGTCTCGCCCCCAGGGCCCAGCCTGCAGGACCAGCACGGCCAGCCACAGCCGCAGGTAGCCCACCATGCGGTCGGCGAACTCGCTGAACGGCTCCCCCGCGCCCTGCGCCGGGCATGGGCCCTGGCGGCGGCCGCGCGAACGCCGCCTGTCTCCGCCCTCTCCTCCCTCTCCTGATCCACCTGCTCCTCCTGCTCCTTCCTCCATGTCCTCCTCCTCCTTCTCCTCCTCCTCCTTATCCTTATCCTCCTCCTCCTCCTCCTCCTCCTCCTCCTCCTCCTCCCCCTCCTCCTCCTGTTCCTCCTCGCCCTCCTCCAACACCCTTTTCCCTCCTCCCCCTGCTCCTGCTCCTCTTGCTGCTGTTCCTGTTGCCGATGGTGCCGCTGATGCTTTCCCCATCTCCCTCCCCTCACCTCCCCCCTCTCCCACTGGAGAAACCAGACGGCACTCCCCCTCCACGTACCCATCCTCCTACGCCTCCCTCCTCCCAGCCCTCCTCCTCCCCTCCTCCTCCTCCTCCTCCTCCTCCTCCTCCTCCTCCTCCTCCTCCTCCCCCTCCTCCTCCTCCTCCTTGAAGGAGGAGGAGGGGAAGTAGCGGGCGCAGATCGGCTGACAATGAACTTGTCCGCCAAAAGCGCCTGTCCCAGGGAAACTGGATGGTTCATATCCCGACGTATCTTCCACAGGGGTACACACTTTCCCAGCCGCCCCTGGGACGGGCTCCCCCGATGGCGAAAACACGTGTTCTACAACCGTTCCTCGTCCGCCACCATACGAGAAAGACGACAGCGACGCCGACGTCCACCCCCTCCTCCTCTGGGTCCTCCTGGCAGGAGGAGGATCGGGCCGGGCGAAAGAGGGGGATAGTAAAGGGGGGTTTGAGAATCAGCTCGCGTAGCTGATTTTCCCGACGCCTCCCGGCGCCGGGCGGCGCCCATGTATCGAGGAATGGGCCCAGCGGCGGGGCCGAAACCAGCTGCATGCAGCAGATTTCGTACCCCCCCCCTTTCCCCCTTATCGTCTGGCCCGAGAGGAGGAGAACGACAACGGACGACGGAGGGCGGACGACCGACGACGGACGACGAAGGCGGCGGCGACGTCGACGTGTGCACGGCGCGGTACCGTGGCGCTCCCCTCTGCCCCCCGCGCGCTCTCGCGCCCTCCCGCTCGGGGTCTGCGCAGCGCACGCGACGCCACCGCACGCGCTGAAAGGCGTGGCGCGATGACGACGCCGACGACGGCGGCGACGCCGACGCCGACGATGCCGACGACGGCGGCGGCGGCGGCGACGACGTCGACGACGGCGGCGACGGCGACGCCGCCGACGACGCCGCCGACGCCGGCGACGCCGGCGACGCCGGCGACGCCGTCGACGGCCACCGGCGAGGAGGCGGCGCGCGGGCAGCGCCGACTCGCCGCCGGGGGGGGGGGCGGGCGGCCTGGCGCCCGGGCAGGCTGCCGGCCTCGGCCGGCCGCGGGGGCGACGACGACGCCGACGACGACGCCGACGACGACGACGACGGCGACGGCGACGGCAACGACGGCGACGGCGACGACGCCGGCGACGGCGACGACGTCGGCGACGGCGACGGCGACGACGGCGACGGCGGTGACGACGACGACGGCGACGACGGCGACGACGACGACGGCGGCGGCGGCGACGACGACGACGACGGCGACGACGACGACGGCGACGACGACGACGGCGTGGACGGCGGCGGTGACCTAAACGGAGGGCCCTTGAGGGCCCCTCGTGGAGCCAGCAGGGGCCCGGAAGGGGCCCGAGAGGGGCCCTTCAAAGCCCTCACCTGCACCCCCCAACGAGGTCACCCCCCGTTACCACCCGCCCGATTTGAGGAGGAGGAGGAGGAGGAGGAGAGGAGGAGGAGGAGGAGGAGGAGGAGGAGGAGGAGGAGGAGGAGGAGGAGGAGGAGGAGGAGGAGGAGGAGGAGGAGGAGGAGGAGTGAGGAGGAGAAGGAGGAGGAGGAGGAGGGCCGGGAGCCGCGGCGAAGGGGCAGAGACAGGGAAGCCGAGGCGGGGCAGGAGGAAAGGTTCGAGCTAGCCAGCCGAGCATCAAGGGGCCCCAGGACACACAAGTAAATACACACAAATACAAAAGGATCCCCCATATTTTCCCATATCTTCTGGGGTTCTGTCTTCCCCCCCACTTCCCATCTTTTCCTGTATTTCCCTGGGGATCGACGGTTCATTGTGTCTGTGTGTCTTTTCCTCTCCTGACGATTGTAAAGGATGTGGTTTGCAACCGCCAGCCTGGGGGGGCGGGCGGGGACCTCGATAGAGTTCTCCGCCGCGCCCCGTGGAAGCCCGACGAGAACGGGATCGTACACCCCAGGAGCGGCACCCATCCAAGAAGGCCCCCACAGGAGCACGCCAATGTATCCCTAAATATACCCCTGCACTCGAGGAAAATTACGCGACCGAGGAACCCCACATACTTATACGATGTCTGGCGTGATTATAGCTGAATGGTGATGGTGGCCGTTGCCCCGACGATGCCATTAGTGACGTCTGTCGAGCCTTGGGAGCCTGACACGCTGTGCGACCAGAAACGAGGACAACGCCGAAAAGAAACTGCGGCGTCGAGGAAAGGCCACGCCTGCTACGCTCTGCGAACTCGGAACGGATAGGGGGACCGCCCCGTACGCACCCGGCGGTGTCGAAGAAGTACCACGCCTGCCACACTTTGCACACCCACAACCGATAGCGGGACCACCACCACAACATCCCCTGTGGTGACGAAGAAGTGCTGCGCTTGCCACGCCTTGCGAACCCGAAGCGGATAGCGGGACCACCCCCTGCACACCCCCTGTGGTGTCCAGGACGTGCCGCGCTTGCCACGCTTTGCGAACCCGAAACGGATAGCGAGACCACCCCCAGCGCACCCCCTGTGGTGCCGAGGACGTGCCACGCCTGCCACGTTTTGCGAGCCCGAAACGAATAGCAGGACCACCCCACGGCACCCCATGTGGTATCGAGGACGTGGCACGCCTGTCACGCTTTGCGAGCTTGACAAGGATAGCGGGTCCACGCCGAGCGCACCCCCGTGTGGTGTCGAGGAAACGCCGCGCCTGCCGCGCTTCACGGACCCCAGACGGATAGCGGGACCATCCCCAGCGCACCCCCTGTGGTGTCGAGGAAGTGCCATGCCTGCCACGCTTTGCGAGCCCTGCGGATAGTGGGACCACGCCTAGCGCACTCCCTTGTGGTATCGAGGAAACGCCACGCCTCCAACGCCATACGGACCCCAGACGGATAGCGGGTCCACGCCGAGCGCACCCCCTGTGGTTTCGAGGAAGTGCCACGCCTGCCACGCCTTGCGAACCCAAAACGGATAGCGGGACCATCCCCAGCGCACCCCCTGTGTCTCGAGGAAGCGCCATGCCTGCCACGCTTTGCGAGCCCGAAACGGCTAGTGGGACCACCTCCGCCGCACCCCCTGTGGTCTCGAAGAAATGCGCCTGCTACACTTTGCGAGCCCGAAGCGGATTAGCGGGACCACCCCAAGGCACTCCCTGTGGTGTCGAGGACGTGCCACGCCTACCACACTTTGCACACCCACAACCGATAGCGGGACCACCACCACAACATCCCCTGTGGTGACGAAGAAGTGCCGCGCTTGCCGCGCCTTGCGAACCCGAAGCGGATAGCGGGACCACCCCCTGCACACCCCCTGTGGTGTCCAGGACGTGCCGCGCTTGCCACGCTTTGCGAACCCGAAACGGATAGCGAGACCACCCCCAGCGCACCCCATGTGGTGCCGAGGACGTGCCACGCCTGCCACGTTTTGCGAGCTCGAAACGGATAGCGGGACCACCCCCACCGCACCCCATGTGGTATCGAGGAAGTGCCACGCCTGCCACCACCCCCTGTGACTGCTCGAGAGTGACTAGGTCTGCGTCGGTGCGTCATACGTATGTGTACGATGTGTGTGTCAGGCTGTATGTGTACGTGTATCCAAGGTGGGTGCCCAGTATGTGGCGCATACGTTTTGGGTGTATGGCGAAGTGAACACGCCAAGTATGCGATAACGTGGGATAGTGTGTGTGTGTGCGTGGGCGCGAAAGCGTGCATGTGTGGCTGTAATTGTGTTGACGCGTGTCTCATGCACGTGCCGTGCATGTGTTGCGCATGAGGGGGAGGGAGGAGGAGGAGGACGAGGAGGAGGAGGAGGATGACGCGGGTGCGACGCGGGTGGAAAGAACATTATGCTAACGGAGTTCCCCACATAAAGATATGAACGGTTTCGTGGGACCCATGGGGTACGACAACATCAACACGAAGGAGAAGCTCATCGAACGAGTAAGTACGCACGAAAGGGCAGACGAAAGAAAGGAGGAGGGAGGACAGGTGCTCAGGAAACGAAGCTTTGTAAATAGCACGGTTTCTTGATACCCTCCTCGCTCTGGCGGGGCCCCGCTGGAAGGGGGGGGGGGGGCTCCGAAAAGAGTAATGCTTTCCGCGACCCTCCTCGTTCAAGCGCGGCCTCTCAAGAGGAATGGAGGGGGGACACGAAACCGTGTAAACTGCATTGTTTTCTGGTACCCTCCTGGAGGAGGAGGGGGAGGAGGAGGAAGAGGATACGATGGATGATGGTGAAGAGCAGCAACAGTATCATCGGCATCATCATCAGTATCAGCATCATCATCCTCATCCTCATCCTCATCATCGTCATCATCGTCGTCATCATCATCATCATCATCAGCATCATCATCATCATCATCATCATCATCATTATCATCATCGTCAGCATCATCGGCATCATCATAACCATCATCATCATCAGCATCATCATCATCATCATCATCACCATCGTCATCATCATCATCATCATCAGCATCATCATCATCATCGTCAGCGTCATCGTCATCATCATCATCGTCGTCGCCATCATCGTCATCATCATCATCACCATCGCCATCATCGTCATCATCATCATCACCATCGTCATCATCATCACCATCACCGTCCTTGGCATCATCGTCCGCATCATCGTGGACGTCATCATCATCATCAGCATCATCGTCGTCATCATCATCAACAGCACCAGCAACGTCAGCATCAGCAGCAGCATCGTCATCATCACCAGCATCTGCATCATCATCCTCGTCGTCGTCGCCGTCGTTGTCATCATCGTCGTCATCGTCATCGTCATCGTCATCATCATTATCATTATCATCATCATCATCATCATCATCATCATCATCATCATCATCATCATCATCGTCAGCATCATCAGCATCATCATGAGAATCGCCATTATCGCCATCGTCATCGTACATCACCATTATCGCCATCGTCATCGTCATCGTGAACAGCAGCATAACCATCGTCATCACCATCATCATTATGAAGCCTTCCTCATCGCAGAACTCCCCCTCCTCCTCACCCTCCTCAGTGGGAGGAGTAGGACGTGAGATGGCTAGGTCATGTTCTCCCCTCCTCCTCACCCATGTCAGTGGGAGGGGCACGAAACCATTTAAATAGTATGGGTTTCCGATACCCTCCTCGCTCAGACGGGGCCTCCCTGGAGGGGTGGGAAAGGCACGAAACCATGTAAATAGCATGGGTTTCCGATACCCTCCTCGCTCAGGCGGGGCCTCCCTGGAGGGGTGGGAGGGGCACGAAACCATGTAAATAGTATTGGTTTCCGAACCCCTCCTCGCTCAGGCGGGGCCTCCCTGGAGAGGTGGGAAGGGCACGAAACCATGCAAATAGTATGGGTTTCCGATACCCTCCTCGCTCAGGCGGGGCCTCCCTGGAGGGGCACGAAACCATGTAAACAAGGGGCACGCGTGCCAAGGATCATACACTGTCATACAATCGCAGATGCGAGACAGACGGCAGATGGCAATGGCGCCAAGGTCCGGTAGGGGGGGGGGGGCAAGCGGCAAGCGAGTGCCCCGACAGGCCGGCGACAGACCATAACGAAGGAGCGGTCCCGATGTTTTCTGCATCCTGAAGCCGTCTCGGGGGCCCCGTGGTCGTCGGTCGTCGGTGGTGGTGGTGGTGGTGGTGGTGGTGGTGGTGGTGGTGGTGGTGGTGGTGGTGGTGGTGGTGGTGGTGGTGGTCGTCGTCGTCGTCGTCGTCGTCGTCGTCGTCGTCGTCGTCGTCGTCGTCGTCGTCGTCGTCGTCGTCGTCGTCGTCGTCAAAATCGTCGTCGTCGTCGTCGTCGTCGTCGTCGTCGTCGTCGTCGTCGTCGTGGTCGTCGTCGTCGTCGTCGTCGTCGTCGTTATCGTCGTCGTGGTCGTCGTCGTCGTCGTGGTCGTCGTGGTCCTCGTGGTCGTCGTGGTCGTCATGGACGTCGCGGTCGTGGTCGTGGTCGGATTGCTTGCTGCTGCGCCTCCCTCAGCAAGGCAACTCGCCTGGCGGCTGCTTTGGGATGGGCTGGTTGGGATACGCGAAGCGTGAAGGGCGGGGGGGGCACGGGGGAGAAGGCGCGGAG